GAATATCTCCGAGAGTCCTGTTCGTGATCTCGGTCTGACCATCAGTCTGAGGATGGTAAGACGAGGAGAAGCGGAGCTGAGTGTCGTACACCTCGTGAAGCCGTCGCCAGAATCGGTTGGTAAAGCGCGGGTCACGGTCAGATATGATGCTCAGAGGTAAGCCGTGGTCACGCACGACTCGGTCAAATACGATGTCGGCGACCTCACGTGCACTGATGGCATAGCGGCACGGAACAAAGTGTGCACGCTTCATGAAGCGGTCGACGACGACCAGGATAGCATCATGACCGCGGGGGGTCCGAGGTCGAAGAGGACCGATAAAGTCCATTGAGATGGACTGCCAACGACCCTCAGGGATAGGAAGAGGCTGGAGCAAACCATAAGGTAGGTGGTTCACACTGTTCACCTCCTGACAGGTGGGACACTCTGGGACGTAGTCCTTCACAAAGTCCTTGCGCTTCGGCCAGACGTACAGGCGGCTCACACGAGCCAACGTCTTATGGAAGCCCATATGCCCGGCGGCTGCCTGGTCATGGAACTCTGCTACTGCTCGGACACGTAGCTGTCCAATGGAGGGAACGCAAATACGGGGCTCTCTGGTGCCCCGTGAACCGTGCCAGTACACGAGACCGTTGTCCCCGAGAGAGTAGTTCGGGACGGTCTTGCCACTCCGAAGGGTTGCGTGGATGTCGCGATAGTCGGGGCAGTGGCGGTACTGAGTGCGAAACTCGTCGATCACCGAGTGGTGGACGGTGGTGACCGAGATGGAAGAGAGCTGGATBTGCTCCTGGTCGTGGTCAGGGCGCCGGGATAGGGCATCTGCGACCCGATTAGTCTCACCCTTGATGTGCTCAGTGGTGAAACTAAACTCGGATAGGTCGCGCCACCAGCGAGCCTGTCGAGGAGTGAGCTTCGGTTTAGTCAGAAAAGCCTGGACAACAGAGTTGTCCGTGCTCACCGTGAATGGTGCCCCGTGCAGGTAGTGCTGCCAGTGCCGAGCGGCATAAACTATTGCGAGAACCTCACATTCATCAGCAGTGTAGTTGATCTCGGCGGGCAGGAGCTGACCGGAGTAGAAGGCTATCGGACAATCACCTGAGCGAGACTCGACAGTGCCGTCCTCGGCGATGGTAGGAGAATAGTCAATAAAGGGTTCGTCAGTAGCTGGACGAGTAGGCGTCAGTCGGGAAGCAGTGGTAGGGGTAGGTGGTGGGAAGCGAGGGATACAAGGATGAGAGGAATCAGGAGAGGAGGGGAAGACTTGAGAAAGCACTGCTCCGACAGCAGAGTCTGACGCATCGGTGGTAAGGATAAAAGGGCGATCAAAATCGGGTAGGTGAAGAACCGGTGCACATGTCACCGCCTTCTTGAGGGCGCGTAAGGCGTCCTCGTGGAGCGGTGTCCAAGCCCAGGGTGGGTTCTTCCAGAGGAGGGTGGAGGTAAGGACGTAGGAATACCTAGCGTATCCCCGGATGAAGTTACTATAGTAGCTGGTTAGGCCTAGGAAGCTGCGAAGCTGCTTGGCGAATGTGGGGGCGGGCCACTCCGCAATAGCAGTGATCTTCGCGTCGTCCATGTGGAGACCCTGGTCAGACACGTAGTGTCCTAAGAAATCCACTTTGTGCTGGGCAAAGCGGCACTTGCTMARCTTGGCGTRGAAGCCATGTCTGTGCAAGCGGTCAAGGACGTCGCGGAGGTGTCTGAGGTGCTCCTCAAGGGTACGACTGTAGACCAGGATATCGTCGAGGTAGACGAGAACGTACTGCTCCAGGATGTCCCTGAAGATGTTGTTCATCGCCCTCTGGAAGGTGGCGGGTGCATTGGTGAGGCCGAATGGCATCACCGTAAACTCGTAGTGGCCGAAGCGCGATCGGAACACTGTCTTCGGCTGGTCGGCTGCAGCGACGGGGATCTGATGGTAACCGCTACGAAGATCAATCTTCGTAAAGAAACGGTTGCCTGCTAGGCGGTCGAACAGCTCATCGGAACGAGGCATGGGGTAGTTGTTCTTAACCATGTAGCGGTTGAGACCACGATAGTCGATGCAGAGACGGAGAGTTCCATCCGCTTTGCGAGCAAAGAGGACGGGTGCACCCCACGGGGAGTTGCTGGGTTTAAAGAAACCCAGTCTCAGGAGCTCCTCAAGCTGACGCTTGAGTTCGGTGGCCTCGGGAATCGAGAGTCTGTAGGGTGCCAGGTGGTGAACACGATAGTCAGGCACAAGCTGAATGGAGTGCTCGACGTCACGCATCGGTGGGATGCCGGCGTACGAGAACGACGATGGGAAAACGTCGTGGTACTCTCGGATGAGGTCACGAACTGCGGGCTCCAGTTCAGCCGTATATCGTGCGAGTTCCTCAGCGTCAGCGTCAGCGTCCGACGGCGAGGTGGACTCGACGGACGGCGGAGGGACGGAAGTAGAGATGGGAGCCATGGAGATAGAGGGAGGATCTAGCTCCATAGGGATGAGCTCGGCGTCGGGACAGGGTGGATCATAGTGTAAGAGATCCGTCACGTCCACCATAAAGAAGGTGACGTCGTCCTGTCGAATGAAGTGACCGAACTGCCGAGGCGAGGTGACAGTGATAGAGGGGGRTGGTRTGGGCACTGAAGGCTCCGGGGGAGGAGGATCGGGGCGTGGTATCGCCGTGGTACCTATGAAAGGTACGCGATACGTCTGTCCACACTTCGTTTTGAGAACGAGAGTATTAGTCGCCCAATCCGCCTCGGTGCTGCGGAACCGACGAGACCACGGAGTGCCGAGAATGAAGTCGTACCCCGTCTCCATCACATCGAAATGTGCAGAGGAGCGGTGGCGACGAGACGCCGGGGAACGATCA